CGTCATTCATGTCGCCGAAGTTCCTTCGATGTCTCCTCCCGCCAACCCCAACCAGCCCCGCACGACCCCAATCGGCCGCACACCGCCACACAGCAGGCTCTGGTGACCGACACAACTCTTTGCTTGGCGCCGGACCGTCTCGAGTGAACCCACCGGTGTGGGCGCCGCCGCTGAGCATCACGGCAAACGGGTGACGGACCTACACATAAACTGAATCACCTCGGCCGACCATGCCGCTGCGGCCGACGATGTCGGATGCTCTCGAGCACTCTCCAGCGCCGGGCGCGGTCCTGACACAGCCGGCCGTGCTTCACCGCCGCTGTTCAGCTCGGCGGCAGAAATGGCAGCGGATACGAGCTCTTTACCGACTACCGAGCGGCAGTCGGAGAACTCGTGAGCTTCCACACATCACAACTCCTGCCGATGCATTCTGGAACAATCACATAACGACTGCCATCACCACTGCCCACTTGCGACATTTGTGGCCCAAGCCGGTCCGCAGTATCCCAGTATCCCAGTATCCGGTATCCACATCAGCCGGGGATGCTCTAGGGAGGGGTGCAGCTGCATGGTGACAACTACCAGTGAGAAGGATGGGGATGCAGCTGGCTGCTGGACCATGGCTTACACACGGGCACACTTCCATGAATTGCCAGTATCCAGCAGTATCCAGCAGTATCCCGCAGTATCCTGCAGTATCCCAGTATCCGATGCGCCGGCTCCGAGTATTGCGGTGAAAATACTGCGCGATACTGCCATGGCCACACTACTTCAGTAACACAGTATCTGCATGCCCCAGGCCCAGTATTGCAGTATCACCCTCGCGGCAGAGAGGTATTTGCGCCACCGATACTTGGCCTTTGCTTGCGGGATATTGGGATACTTGGCCAAGGGCCGTGTGCAGGTAGCATGCAGTATTGCAATAAAAATACTTGCTTTGCGTGTCTGAAATACTGGAATACTGCGCCACAGCACCTCAGATACTGGGATACTGGAAATACTGTGAAATACTCCAACTCTCCTTGCCTACCGAGGCTGACTAGCGCCTCGTCGCACCTCTCCGCCTTCCTCTCCACCCCCTCCTCCGCCGTCTCTCGCGCGAGCGCCCTCAGCGCCGCAACACCGCCGACTCGGTGCCACTGCGCAGCGCACGCAGACGAGGAGTTTGCTAGGGCCAGGAGGGCGTCGATGCTGTCTCTGCGCCAGCCATCCTTCTCTGGCTGATCGAGCCGCGAGAGGAGCAGCGAGAGGCAATGGTCGTCAGCCGCGAGGTCGGGACGGGTGCCGGCTAGATTTACAAGCGCAATTGCAGCAGTGAGCTTGCAGAGGTCTGAGGCGCCTGTCTCCTGCGTGAGAGAGTAGAGGACCGCCACACCGCCAGCCTCCACGACGCCCTCGTGCGTGGCAGACGCTGCCGCGATCATGTTGCTGAGCACCCCTGCGGCACGCTTCTTCTGCTCCTCAGTCCCATCTCGAGCCAGCGCAATAAGGACCTCCACGCCGCCAGCCGCCGCGATCGCCACGCTGTGTTTGTCGTTGATAGCGAGGTTCCACAGCGCCCCCGCCGCACGCTGCTTCTGCCCATCAGTCCCGTCGCGAGCCAGCGCAATAAGCACCTCGATCCCGCCTGCTGCGGCGATCGCCACCTTCTCGTCGTTGTAAGCGAGGCTCGCCAGCGCTCCCGCAGCATTCTCCTTCTGCGCCTCATTCCCGTCGCGAGCCAGCGCAACGAACAGCTCGATCCCCCCGGCCGCAACAATCGCCGCCTCGTTGTCGTCGTTGTAAGCGAGGTTCCACAGCGCTCCTGCCGCACGATCCTTCTGCCCCTCATTCCCGTCGCGAGCCAGCGACACGAGGACCTCCACGCCGCCAGCCGCGGCGATCACCACGCTGTTGTCGTCGTTGTAAGCGAGGTTGCACAGCGCCCACGCCGCACGCTCCTTCTGCGCCTCATTCCCGCCGCGAGCCAGCGACACGAGGACCTCGATGCCGCCGGCCGCAGCGATCGCCACCTCGTTATCGTCGTTGATAGCGAGGTTGCACAGCGCCCACGCCGCACGCACTTTCTGCGCCTCATTCCCGTCACGTGCCAGCGACACGAGGACCTCGATGCCGCCGGCCGCTGCGATCACCTCCCTGGTGTCGCTGCTGGCAGAGAGGTTCCACAGCGCCCCCGCCGCTTCCTCCTTCTGCGCCTTATTCCCGCCGCGAGCCAGCGACACGAGGACCTGCACGCCGCCGGCCGTAGCAATCGCCGTCTTGTTGTCGTCGTTGATAGCGAGGTTGCACAGCGCCCCCGCCGCACGCGCCTTTTGCTCCTCATGGCCGTCGCGAGCCAGCGACACGAGGGCTTCGATGCCGCCGGCCGCTGCGATCACCTCCCTGGTGTCGCTGCTGGCAGAGAGGTTCCACAGCGCCCCCGCCGCTTCCTCCTTCTGCGCTTTATTCCCGTCGCGAGCCAGCGACACGAGGACCTGCACGCCGCCGGCCGTAGCAATCGCCGTCTTGTTGTCGTCGTTGATAGCGAGGTTGCACAGCGCCCCCGCCGCACGCGCCTTTTGCTCCTCATGGCCGTCGCGAGCCAGCGACACGAGGGCTTCGATGCCGCCGGCCGCTGCGATCACCTCCCTGGTGTCGCTGCTGGCAGAGAGGTTCCACAGCGCCCCCGCCGCTTCCTCCTTCTGCGCTTTATTCCCGTCGCGAGCCAGCGACACGAGGACCTCCACGCCGCCGGCCGCAGCAATCGCCGTCTTGTTGTCGTCGTTGATAGCGAGGCGGCACAGCGCCCCCGCCGCACGCTCCTTCTGCACCGCATTCCCGTCGCGAGCCAGCGACACGAGGACCTGCACGCCGCCGGCCGCAGCAATCGCCGTCTTGTTGTCGTCGTTGATAGCGAGGCGGCATAGCGCCCACGCCGCACGCTCTTTCTGCACCTCATTCCCGTCGCGAGCCAGCGACACGAGGACCTCGATGCCGCCAGCCGCTGCGATCACCTCCCTGGTGTCGTCGTCCCCTGCAATTAGAACGAGCGCCATCACGGCGTCCCCCTTCTCGTCCTCGTCTCCGACCCGCAAGAGGGCGACGAGCGCGTCCACCCTCCTGCCGCCGGCCTCCTCTCTCGACAGCCGCTTGAGCTCTCCAAGCGCAGCAGCGCGCAGCGCCGAGGAGGCATCGCCAGCGGTCTCAACCAGCCGCGCGAAGGCACCGCGCGGCGCGCAGATCAGGGACCACCGCTTGCAGACGGCCGCGTGGCGCAGGCCCGTCTTCTCGAGGACGCATGGCGCAAGGTCCGGGTCCTCCAGGACGTCGGTCGCGACGGCGGGCGGAGGGCTGTGGTGCGCGAGGAGCGCCTCGAGGTACCTGTTTGCAGCGGGGCTGTCCCGCATGGCGCCGGCGGTGATCGCGATCAGGACATCGGGCGAAAGAGCGGCGAGCCGCAGCTCGTAGCGGTCAGAGGCGAGCATCGTGAGCCTGTCGAGGACTGGAAGCAAGACAGGCCGTGGGTGTGGTTGTCACGAGGACAGAAGACGTGGACGCACGTAAACTCACTCGGAGAATCCGATTCACACTCACGGACTGTCCGAGGAGGCCACCGGCCAAAAGCGCATGTCTAGGGTGGTGTGGCATCTCTTGCGGGTCTCGCCAGGGGCGCCTACCAACCTCGCTTGCGAGGGGCGTGTGGCATGTCTGAACGGACTCGTGAGGGGCGCCTGCCAACCTCGCTTCGTCGAAGCGGCGCTCGGTACCCACACCCAACCCGCCGCATTCGTCGCCGGCGCGCGACACGTTCCCGTCGGCTGGACTGCCCTCGTCGAGTGCGTGTCGCCAACCAAGGCGGGACGCACTCAGGGACAGTGCCGGCGGGACGCGGCTCGAGAGGCGGCTCCCGCGGAGCGGCGGAGGCACGGCTGGCACCTGTGGCGCGGGGCTCGTCTTCGGAAAGACCAGGATCGCTCTACTGGCAAAGTTCTGGCTGACACGCGCGCCCGGTCGAGCCTTCGGCGGGCGCGCTGCGGTCGCACGCCTACCCAAGTCATATGCCACGGCGTGCGATCTAGATTCAGCACACGCGCCTCTGCTCGCAACCACTCATCCAATGAACTGTCGCCACCCATGAGTGCGAGTTAGGGCTAGCGGCTGGCCAATAGCCTGTGAGGAGGGCGTCCATAGACACCTCACAAGACCCCACACATGGTCTCGTCCGTGCCTTGCGGCCGGCGACGAGATTGCTAGAGGCGGAGCAAGCCTGCTCTAGTCTCACACGTTCGCCCCTGTCGCCTGTCTGTGTTGTTGTGCTGTTGTTTGTCTCTTGGCACCTTGGAGTGCTGGGGGGGGCGACAGGGGGGACGTGGCCTGAGTGATGTGTACGCCCACTCAGGATGTGTGGCAGCCCGCTGGCTGTGTGTCTTGTGAGCTTGTTTGTGTCTGTGTGTCGCTCGTGCGTGTCGTCATCATCTGTCTTGCGTCCACCCATACCGCGTTGGTGTCCAGTCCGAGCCTGACTGTTCTTCACCTTACTACATACATACATGCATGTCTTGAAGGTCCGATACTGGAAGCCCATATAGGCACCTCAGTCTCGCACCTCTTGAGCGACACTACGTTTCCGCAGCTGGGGATTCTCCGGGAACTGGAGCTGCAGCGAGAGCTCGATGTAGTCGGCATACGCCGCACACGGGAAGAAGTCGGCATACGGGCATACGCAAGCGGCGCACGGCCGCGCCACACGTGGCCAGCAGGTCCCGCGCGTGGCGTCCGACGTGCTCAGCAGCGTCCCCACCGCCTACCCCCGCCCCCCACCGCCCCTGCCGCAGCGGCCTGCCGCCGCCGCGCTTGCCTCACATCTTGAGGTCCTCCTCGTCCGAGCTGTCCGAGAGGAGTTCGTTTTCTTTATTCAGCGCTGAAGGGGGGGGGGGGAGGTGGAATACGTATTCCACCGTATTCCAAAAATCGCTCCTTCCTGCCGCCGCCCTCTGCTCAGTCGTTTGACCCGCCGCCCAATGCTCCGCCGTTCGCTGCCGTGGTCTGCCGCCGTGCCGCCGCTCCTTACCGTGCCGCTCCTTCCGCGCCTCGCCGCCCTTGCCATTTATTCGCCGTCCCTCCTGCCGTGCGTTACCGCCGTGCCGCCATACCGCCGCTCCTACAGTGCCGCGCCGCCTCCCACGCGCACACACCTTACCTCCTGCTCGACCGAGTTTGCGATGAGAAGTGACCCGAGCCGCCGGGTGCCCCGCAGCGGCCTCGCTGGACCAGAAGAACCGGTCCGCGAGTGCTCCGCAGCAGCCTCGCTGAGCCAGAACGTCGGCTCGCGAGGTGGGGTGCTAGTATGAGCCCGATCCGTCGTAGAGTTCTTGCGCTTCGGCGGTTAGTGGTGCGCTAACCTCCGAGAAACCCTTCGGGTCGCTCCTCATCGCAAACCCTGTCAGCAGAGTCTCCTACGGGAATGTACGTAAGAGCTACATACACTGAAAAACCTTCCCAAAAGCTACATATTCCGAATAAAACTTTCTTCGCTCCGCGAATTCACAGAGTAGGCTGCATGCTTGCCGCGGAATGCGGGCGGTGCTTAGTGTAGGTATGTTGTTGGCAACAAGACACAGAGCTCACACAAAATCGGGTGGAAAGCGAACGAGTCACTTAACAGCGGTCGATTAGGGGGTGCGAGTCTACTGGCCAGACGACAAGAAGTGGTACTCTGGGCAGGCCAAGGCGTTTGACTCGGTGACGTTGGAGCACTTAGTGCGGTACGACGACGGCGAGGAGCGGCAGGAGTGCCTGACAGGACTCGAGCCGTTGCAGTGGGAGCTGCTGCTCCCCGCGGTGGCGGCCGCGTCGAGTACACGGGCTGCCACAATGTTGCGCAGCGCGCCGCGCGAGGCGGACCCAGAGACGTTGGCGACGCGTCTCGCTGCCGCCGAAGGGCTGACGCTCGTGCCAGCGAACAATGAGGTGGGATATCGTGGCGTGTCGCTGCATACGTCGCCTGGAACGTTTCACGTGCGCAAGCGCAAGGACGGCAAGAATTACGAACTTGGCCACTTCTCGAGCGCTGCCGAAGCCGCTCTTGCTTATGCCCGTTTTCTCGGCCCGGCGGAGTCAGCCAAAGAGGCGGCCGCCAGGCCGGCTCGGAAGATGAGGGCCGGGTCGGAGGACCACGGAGGCTTTGGCGTCCCGCGGTGCAACGTGTCCGTCGAGGCCGTCATTTGTGAGAGCGCCTCAGAGGACGAGGGCGACGAAGCCATCCGTGGTGCTGCCACCACCCTCGTCACGGCGGCGTCTGCGAACGGCGACATGGCGCCGATGTGCTCGCCGCCTGCGCAGGCACCCGGGGGAGGGGCTCTGAAGCGCAAGCGCAGCTTCCACAGCGAGGAGTTCGAGCTCGCTGCCGCCGGGGACACGATCTCCATCCCTGTGCCGCAGGCCATGCGCGGCCGAGGGGCCACCGTCGTGGTGACGTATGAATGAGAGAACTCGCGGCGTGGGTGCATCAACAAAAAGTCAGCGGAGGACACGACTCCTGTGTCCCCTGTGACACCTCTGTCACCTTAGTGTGATAGTCCTGTGACGGGTACGCGTAAAGCCGTATCAGGACCCGAGAATGGGAGATCTCTATCAAAAGACGTGCGCTGATGACCGAGATGAGTTTGATGAGTGATGTCGCCAGTCTGGAGTCTCCAAGCACCAAAGTCACAGTGTGATCAGTGTACTCCAACCCCCCTAAAAAGTCAGAGCACAGAAGCCGCCAAGCCTCTTACAGGATCTCGGAGTGTCACAGGAACTCCACAGTGGGGGCTTCTGAGACCGCCTCGCCCTCGTCGCCAGCTCCTTCGTCGAGCGCCTGCTTGAGCGCGCCCACGAGGCGAGAGGCGGTCGCCGGCGAGCCGCGGCCCACGCCGGAGGCGGTGCGGCTGCCGCCGCTCGCGTGGCTCGGACGCGTCGCCTCAAACGCCCGGCGCGCCTGCAGCCGCGCCTCCCACTCGCGACCCGTTGGCAGCGACGACTCCCGCGCCGACCCCCTCGCCGGCTCGCGCGCCGCCGGCTCCGCTCGACCTGCTGCTGCTTCACGACGTCCGAGCTCAACTGCTGCCGCAACCTCCCGCGCCGCCGACTCGCGACGCTGCCCCGGGTCGTCCTCTTTGTGCGAAGCCGCCCCGTCCCTCCTCTGGGACGGCCTCCGCCGCGGCGCAGTAGCGTCGGGCGGCCGCCCCGAGCCTTCTCCCGCGTCGGTTGCCTGCGGGGCGGAGCCGGGGTGCAGCGGCCAGTCGTCCCCCGAGGCGAGGGCCAAGTCGAGGGCTCTTCCCCGCTCGACGCCGCCCGCAGGAGGAGCCCGCTCGGCGCCCGCGGACGACGAGCGCTCAGCGGACGACGAGCGCTCAGCGGACGAAGCCGTGACCTTCCCCTCGTCCCCGCCCCCGCCGAGCAGCGCCGCCGTCGTCTCGGCACAGCCGCGGGCGTAGCCCTCTGCGCGCGCCTCGTCCGCCTCCGCCTGCAGTGTGCGCTCGCGGCGACGTCACATCAGTGGCC